CGGTCTCGGTCTCGGTCTCGGTCTCGGTCTCGGTCTCGGTCTCGGTCTCGGTCTCGGTCTCGGTCTCGGTCTCGGTCTCGGTCTCGGTCTCGGTCTCGGCCTCGGCCTCGGCCTCGGTCGCGGTTTTGGTCTTGGTCTTGGTCTCGTCTCTCGGTCTAGGTGACTTTTATCTATGCATAATGCAACTTTAGAAAGTAAACATATCGATCTTCCCAGAACCACTACAATGGCTATGAGAGCCATACCATATGTACAAACATTGTAACTTAAACTCCTTTGAAATAAATAATATTATCCCTATAACATAATGAATGATTTATCTTTTTATAGATAGGATTGCTCATTTATTTTTATGAACAATTAAGGGGTTGCGCATTCAATTCTATAATTGCAAATAGGCATGAGACGCTCAAATGGATAACCATGAAAGATATCATACTCGCATTTAGTAATGTCCACGAATTCTGCGGATTCTAACATGGATATGAATCTGCTAACCACGATATGATTCCCACGACATGTTTTTGTCAATCTCTAATCTCATTTCAAATGCATGGATTGGTACTCCGTTAGGTTTTGGTGAACTCTTACCACTACTTAAATTTTGAACGACTGTCGGGCTTTTATTCATGATATGCATATTGATGTCCTCCCTTACCACACAGTGCACTCCTGCTTTGTGTGCGTGTATAAGCGTTTCTGGTTATTAGCAAAACACTTGCATTTAATTTGTTTAAAGTTAAGCGATTTACCCACTTTGTCTTTGCTGATATTGTGTAAAGTGAAATTGTTTTAAATAAATATCTATGTTGTTATTGCACACACGTTGTTTCACTTCTGTTTGAAGTGTTTATCCATTTGTATTGATCAACATCTTGTTGTTTTCTATTTTGTCATTGATGATGTGTTTTTGTGTTTGTCAAACTGTTTTATCATTTGTGATAATAGTCATATTTTGTCATATGTGATTGTAATTAGACATACTTTCTTTCGTAATCTTAGTCTTAATTTAAAATATGTGGTTTTGGCTAGACATAATTTGACATTGGCAATCGCTCGTATTCTGATGTTATGTGCGATTTTATTGGCTTTTTACCGAACAGTAACCTTTTCGCCACAAGAACTTGAGTTTTTTATGTTCCCCCAATGTGCAAATGGTATAGTACCTATTTGTTACTTCTGTAGACAACACAGACTGACAGTAGCTTCTGTTGATAGCACAGACTGACTGCGTCAATCCCTCGTATTCTGATGTCATATGTGATTTTATTGGCTTATTACCGAACAATAACTTTTCCATCGCAAGAGCTTGCATTTTGTTTTCCATGTATTTGCTGCTTGCTGACCTACTAAGTAGCGTACCAACCTCTGTGGTACTGATCGGGTATGCGCCGTGTAGTGCTGGACCACCGGCCAGCCGAGAGTCCGTAACATAAAAATTGATGTATTTATTTCGAGATATATATCTTGATACTAAAGGTTTTGTATAAATATGGTTTCTCGTACTGATCATATGAGTTTTTACCCTGGCCAACCCACGTAGTTGAACACTTGTACAAACACCATCAGCATACTACTGAGGGTGAGATCAGAAATAAGTTGTTTCGAACGCACCATTATATATATATATATATATATATATGTACTTTACACGAGGTCTACCACCTTACACTCGAACAGTATTACTGTCTTGTGTTTTAATGGTAGGATCTCTGTGTGCAATTGTTCTGGTAGAACTATTTGTTCTCAATCTCTAGTAGCTTCTTTTGAGCTTCGGCCAAATATTATCAAGTTCTTTGCGTACTTGATTTTGATTGTTTCAAGACATTCACCGGTATGATATTAAATAAATGTTTTACAAGACTTGTTTATTAAATATTATATGCTTTTTTATTCTATGTATATCGTTGCTTCTATTTTTTTTTCTCTCCCTGTGCTTCTATTATTATGTGCGCAGATGAAACAGAGGATAACAATTCTGATGATAACGATTTGATGGGTCACGTACGGGGTAACAACAAGGGCAATAAACTATGGGTTTTAGGGTTTTACGTATGGGCTCCGAGAATGCCACACTGTCCACCTCTAAATCAACGCCTGATGCCCATGTATCGGATGGAAATCTATGGCACATATGGGCGTGAATGCGAACTTCCCAGAATTTGTTGCGGTCGTGTCGGACACATTTGCCGGACGGTATTCGTCTGCCTTGTCAATACTCACCCGAAATACATCACGCATTTGTTCAGCTGAGTATTCTCGCCAGTGATGATGCATACGCAGAGTATAACAGTACTATGCTCCCCCCGCAGCTTGGCGTATAAGATTGAGCACACCATGATTGCGGTATACTTGTAGTGTAAACTTCGATGGAAATTACTAGGTTTCAAACTATATTAAACTAAAATACAATTTAGTCAGTTAG